TTGAATTGGTGAAATTGGAATTGGGTTGGTTTAATTTTGATTTGATTTTAAATTGGATTTGATCGATTTTAAAATTGGATTTAATTTTAAAATTGGATTTGATCAATTTTAAAATTGGAATTTGAAAATTGGATTTTGGTTTTAAAATTGGATTTGATTGATTTTTGAATTAGAATTAGAAATTGTATTTAAAATTAAAATTGGATTTAAGTTTTAAATTCTAAAATGATTTTCTAAAAACTATCCGGGCCGGACAACTCGGTCATGCCGGTCCAACCGGTCCGATCGGGTCTAACCAGTTCAGACAGACGGAAATAAATAAATTAATTATTATTTTTCCAGAAATTAAAATCAAATCAAAATTGATTTTTAATTTTCTGAAATTATTTATCAATTAAAGCTCAATCCATATATTCGATCCATTAATCAATAATGTTCAATAAATGAGTGTTTGATTAATTAATTAATTTAAACGTTAAATTAATTTCATTAATAGAACACATGTATAATAGTGATTATACTTCAACTTAATTAATTGTATCTTAATCTGATTTGATTAATTTATGTTGATTAAGGTCCTTTAATTATTTTGTAACAAATCCCCATAATTAATTATTGTAATTAATTATAATTAAGGTCGAATGTTCCTCTTAGGACAATATGCGTTTCCATATACCTTTAGAGAACATAGTTGTAGGAATCCAATCGACATGTCCAATATTTCTGATGAGATAACAACAAAACAATAATAAATCCCTCATTCTTAATTTATTAAGAATTATTTCAAGCTATAAAGAAAAACCAATTATTTGAATTTTTCTTTCCTTCTACCAACAGTTAAATTATGTGTAGCCCCTTGCAATAGTGCAGTAAGCCGTGTTAGCGGAGAGTGCTATAGTAGGGTAAGTTGTAATTTAATTGACATAATGATGAAGGTAGCCATAGAAAGGGTTATGCTAGATTAACGTGGTCGGCTAGATTAACTAGGGGCTGCATTAGTTTGGTTTCATCAGTTCTATGAGCATCTTTGATTGGGAGGTTAGACTTGACACACGAAGATTTTGAATTCGCGAGATTAACTTAGGTCATTATCAAGTGTGAGGAAAATAAATATTTAGGGTCATATAACCATATGATTGATGGAGATCTACCTTTGGATAAATGTAATCAGGTTAGATTAACTACGGGTTACATTTGCCTATTGGACCTAAAGCTCATTAAAAGAAAAATAAGTTTTCTCGTTTGTTTGCTAGAGGGTAGTGGAATTCGATAAAATTTAGTGGGAGTACAATTAAATGATAAAAGTCCAAATCTTTAATTGCAATCATTAATAATGAATTATTTTTTATAAGTCTACTTAATGTTTTTCAGTATAAATTCTAAGAATTCCTTATCGTCAATTCTCGACACCAACAAAACTTAATGGCAACAATTAGCTTGATTGGCTCAATAAACATTCGTTTGGTGCTTTTGCTCCAAGAGCAATTGTGCATACTCAAATATACCCTAACCAAACTTCATGATAACTCGACTCACTAGGAAACCACCACTTATTAGAAGTGGAAAAAGGGTGTCCATTATGACCAAATACTATATGATAGCATCTAGTCACCCGAGTTAGCAAGGTTGATGTTGTTGACATATAGGCTCACCTCGAGATCGTGTGTAGTGACAACATTATGTCAATGAGGTTTGTGACGACTAAGAAGTTGATGTCTCTTAGGCTACGCGAAAGGACTCCGGTCCATGAGCATGGTTTTAAGATGACTCGCTTCCAAAGAAGTTGCATGACCACAATGTCGTTCTCCCACCAGAGTTCTCGGTGAATCTCATGCTTCCATCACTAACTACCTCTTATGAAACATTCATAATTAATTTCAATGAGAATATGATTGAATCTCTTTTTGAAAGATATGGTCAACATGTTGAAATACGAGTCAGTTATAAAGAAAGAAACGTTTGTTTTGCCGTCGGCACCTTCTATATCGTTTTTCTAAGAATAGTTCAAAGTGGAAGAAGAAGGTAAAAAGAAAATAGTTTCTAGTCGAGCAAACAATAGACTAGGGGTGAATCGACTATTCGCAAGGATAAAGAAAACAAGCATATAAGTGATGCTTGATTCCAATGTGGAAAGACAGACCATTGGGCTCTGAAACTGCATGGAGTGCCTTGATCGGAAACGTTCTAAGAAATGTGCGTTTTTCATTTAACCTGAACTCAATATAGAAGATAACCTGACACAACTTTGGTACGTTAGATTATGAAATATTTCTTTAAGATGAATGAATGAGTTTGCATGTGAGGGATTGCTCACGTTGGATGATGTGAACTCACTGCGGGCTTGTGAATTTTGTTTAAAAACAAAAATGTCCAAGTTACCATTTAAGGGACAAATGGAGCATGCTGAAGGCCTCTTTGATTTGATCCATGCAGACGTGTGTGGTCCACTAAATGTTAGTGCAATGGGTGGTTTTAACTACTTCGTAACCTTTACCGACAATTACTCAAGGTATGCTTACGTATACTTGATGAAGTACAAATTTGAAATATATAAAATGTTCAAAGATTTCAAAAACGAAGTAGAAAAGCAACTCATACGAAGTATTAAGAAACTACGATCCGATCGTAGTGGAAAATACTTAAATGATGAGTTTATCGACTATCTCAAAGATAACGTGATTCACTAAGTTACCGGCTTACTTATATGGTCATGCACTTCATACTGCCGCGTATTTGCTGAATAGGGTTAACACCAAAGCAATTAGTTCCACACCATATGAACTTTGGCATTCCCGATAATCCACTTACATGAAGTGGCTAGTGGGAGACGAGTTGAATAGTCGATCCAACTTATGCCATTTCGTGGGGTATCTCAAAAATTGTTTTAGATACTTATTCTACTATCCCTTGAAAAAAATTGTTTGTCTCGGGAAATGCCACCTTCTTAATGAAGAAGGTTCTATGCGATAGAATAGGTGTATGGTAGAACTCCAAGAAATTCGAGAACCACGAATTGAAGTTCTAACACCATAAATAGAACAAGAGCCAATCAAAATCAAGTAACCCATTAATGTACGTTCTCAACCATCTATGTGTAGATTCGAAAGGATCCGTAGAGAACTCAATAGGCAACCCTCATCGAAGGTAGTCAAAATCAATTTGACGAGATATGTGATCCAAGAACCTTCAATGAGGTTGTATTTGATGCAGTAAGGGACATTGGCTTAACGCCATGAAATCCAAAATGGATTCCATGTACTCCAACAAGGTATCGACCTTCATGGATCCACCTAAAGGAATCTTTCCCATAGGATGCAAGTGGATCTATAATCTTTAAGTTGGAATAGATGGAAAGGTATCGACCTATAAAGCTATATACGTGGAAATTAGTTATACTCTAGGACAAGTTGTTGTATGTGAGTTAACTTTTCACGAAACACTATGCTATAATTCCATTAGGATTCTGCTAGCCATTTCTGCGTAGTATGACTATGAGATATGGAAAATGGATATGAAAATCACCTTCTTCAATGGCGAGATTGAGGAAATCCGAGTGGTGCAGCCGAAAGGCTTCATATCTTCTGGAAATTAGCAAAATAGGGTTTGCAAAATTCCAGCGATCCATTTATGGATTGAACCTAGCATCCCATAAATTGGAATGTCCGATTCAACACAAAAAATCAAGCAATTGATTAAGTAACGAATTCGAAAGAGCCTTAAGTTTACAAGAAGGTTAGTGGGAGTGCCATTATGTTTCCCAGTGCTTTGTGTTGATAGCATTCTACTAATTGGGAATGTTGTAGGGATGTTGCCTTCAACTAAAGCACGATTGTCCTAAAATTTCTCAATAAATTAATTTGGGATAAGCTTCGTACGTATTGGATACGTATTTATAGAGATAAATAGAAGAGGTCGCTTAGTTATCCCAATTCATATTATAGACATGATATAATGTGTGCTGTGAATCGTCACTGTAGATATCAGTCTAACCCCAACCAAGTTAGTTGGATAGCTATGAAACAAATCCTTAAATACTTGCAAAGTACTAAAGACTTGTTCATATATAGTCTATGGGGATTCCGAGTTGAATATAAAGTCGTTCATTGACTTTAGTGTTTCAATCGGAAATGGACAACTCAAAAAGGATGTCGGGATTTATATTCATGCTTATTAACGAGGTGTCGTATGAGTTCCAAGTGAAACATGACAACGGATTCGACCTCCAAAGCTTAATGTATTGCGGCATTAGATGACGCAAATATTGCAGTTTGGATTCGAAATTACATTCAAATCTTGAATGTATGATTTCAATAAGTCTCATCAGAAATCCAAGCATATACTGAATCATAAATATCTCAATGGTTAGATAATTAATAGAGGCGAACATTAGTTCGAGAGAGTTGCCTCGGTAGACAACGTATTAGATCCCTGAATCCTTTACCTATACCAGTCCATGAGAAACACCGAGAGTCGATGGGACTTAGGTAATGAGTAGTTGGCTTTAGGTCAAGTGGGAGATTGTTAGAGTAGGTGACCGAAGAGCCAACTAATTCTTGTGTTTTCTCACACTACTCGTAAATAATCTATTTCGTATTAATGATAAATACCTCCTTTGGCATTCTATATCTTTGTCCCTTGCATAAACATAGATATAGTCCTTACAGTTACTTAATTACTGTAAATAGATCTAGTAGAATCGTGAGATTATTTATTTAAGTATAGTAACTGTTAAACATAGTTCCTAGTCTACGGGTTACGCCACTAATGAGGATATCGGCCTTTCTCATTCGAGACTAGCACTTAGTGTATGTGTACTGCGTCTCATCAGTCAATAGTGTTGTGACATCGGCATACATAAGTCGGTGCTCATAAGTTGATGAGTTCACTGAACTCCCTCAATCTAGAGATCTCTAAGTGGTTTCCAATAATCGAGTGGAGGTTTCTATGATATAGTTGTACACCATTAGTCCTTAAGACCCAGACATCACCGTGACTTCATTAGAGGACCAGCTGTATCGTGACTTGTCCCTGAGTTCCACCGAGGACCGCCCCAAGGGCCAATGTTCGTGTAGTCCGAAATCTAGTGGGAGGTCTGTGCATTGTAGTAGGGGATTCGATCGCTTGATCAGTCATGGATATCTTGTGTGTTCTTACGATTTATAATCCATGAAGTCTGTGGCCACAACTGAAAGTGTCGTGATTAGAGAAATATATTTCTCTAAGTCAAACACGAACGGATTATGTAATCTAGAACGTCCACACAGTTATTGAACTCATAAAGAGGTCTCGACGAACCAATGCCTCTAGTTCAATCGGGATATATGTATCGAAGGGATCATACTATACGTTAACTATATCAAACGGTTCTTGCAGGCACTTCATTTGTATCTAGGGAATCATGACGCGTAATTGCTAGACGCCAATCTTGATTCGTTGCGTAGTTAAATTGAAATCATCTTCAACTTAATTGTTACTCTAGGGACGAGTTTAAACCACAATGGGTTGTGGGCCCACGACTAGCTTACACCTGAACCATCGAGGGTCACATTGCTCGTGTACTTGAGATCCTTAATGCAACGAGCTAAGATTAATTAGTTAATCTTAGTGGAATTGGAAGTCAATGTGATTGATTCCAACATTCGTAATTGTTAATTACGGATGATAATAAGTAGAGGAAAAGAATCCAACGGAAATTTAGTGAACTTTCTATTATGGGAAGTTTCCCAATTTGGCAAGTCCTAAATTAGTGTTTCCAATTTCGGAAATTGGTAAATTGCAAAGTGGTACTCGTATGGACGAGAATTTGTGCTCGTTGTCAAAATGTAATTGTTATATTTTTACGAGCATTCATTTGTTAGAAACGAGCCGAGAAAGAGAGTGGACTTAAGCTGTTGGGCCTAGCCCAACTTAAGGTCTATTAGGGTTTTCACAAGGAGCATATAAATAGGATTTATATGTCTTGTGAAAGACACAAAACAAAAACGACATAACACAAGCTTGAAACCATAGCCTCTCTCCCTCCACGCCATCCACCTTGCAGCCGAAACCCTACCTCCGTCACCGACCGTCGCGCTGTCGCCCGTCGCCGCCACATCGGCATCTTCCTTTTCCATTCGTTCTTCTTCGTTGTACTTAGCCTAGCACGTATCTAGTGCTGCGTGGATAGTGGATTGAATATACGAGGTGAAACCTAAGAGGAGGAATATTATTATGCTGCCAACTCCGCCACCTGGGTCGTCCCCACGCGCCCCCACGCACCGCCACTAGCCGGTGATGTGAGAAGGCAATTCTGAAAAACTGCTCTCGGATTTTCTGCGCAGTCCAGCGAGAAAATTCGCCATTAATCAACCGGTGATCGGATGGACGTGAAATTCTGATAAAAGCTTTGCAAATCATGGATCTAAAATCTTTGAAAAGGAATTGTGGATTCAGTCAATAACCATGGAGATATTGAAGTCGGAGCAGGCCTGTAATTTCGGATCAGAAAACAGGTTGGATCAGTTGCAGTGGGAGGAGCAGCAAGCCATCTTCTCGTGTCTTCGTTCGATTCACATGAATCTATATGTTCTATTATGTGTTTATGTGAATCGTTCATGGAGCATGTTAATTATTTGATTTAATTTCGCGAGCATGCTGTGATGATTTAATTTATGTCATTTAAATTAATTATATATGCGAGCATGTTTGTCGGTGATTGGAAGAGAAAAGGTACGCAATTAGTTGTAATTATTGTGCACGTGTTTTTTTATATAAATAAAATAAAAAAATTTGTTTTTCGCTGCGAACACGTGCCTAAACCTCAACAGATACGACTTTGGAATCAGACGAGTCTTTCTTCGGAGATTCGGAAGTTTGGATTTGATTCGAGGTTATTGCGAATTTTGAGAATTTGCGTGTCATTTTGCTGAGTTGATTTGATTGATTCTCCCAAGTTAGGTTGGACTGTGAGAGCGTTAATCCATTTGCGGCTGAGTGAGTTGGCGAACACATTAGCTTTACCGGGATGGTAGAGTATCTCACAATCATTATCCTTGACTAGTTTGAGCCATCTCTTTTGCATCATATTCAAGTCTTTATGATTGAAGAAGTATTTGAGACTTTTATGATCGTTCGTACTCCTTGAGTTGTCAAGAGGCGTTGTCTACGACTTCCCAATTTTGCGTAAGTATGGCTACCAATCCTAGTTTTGAGGCATTGCTGTAGACTATGAATTCTCTAATTTTTTTCGGTAGTGCGAGAATTCGTGCCGATGTGAGTCGATTGTTCAATTTGGTGAAAATGGCGTCACATTCTTGTGTCCACTGGTACTTCACGTCCTGTAATTTCGAGTTAGTCGGGTGAGAGGTGAGGCAAGTTTCGAGAAATCTCTCACGAATTTGCGGTAATAGCCTGCCGAACCGAGGAAGTTTATGATCTCCTTTGCATTTTTTGGAATTAACCAATCAGACACGGCTTCTATTTTGTTGGTATCAAACGAGATTCCTTTTGCCGAGACAATGTGACCAAGGAAAACCACGTTGGATAACCAAAACCCGCATTTGCTAATCTTGGCGTATAATTGATGTGATCAGAGTAGTTTGAAGTACTATGCGAAGGTGTGACATATACTCTTCTTGGTTTTTGGAGTAGATAAGAATGTCGTCGATGAAGAAGATTACAAATTGGTCCAAGTATTGGTGAAAGACTCGGTTCGTGAGATCCATGAAAGCTACAGAGGCATTGGTTAGACGAAGGGCATAACAACGTATTCATAATGGCCATATCGGGTTCTGAAAGTAGTTTTGGGGATGTCGGATTCTTTGATTTTGAGTTGGTGGTAACCGGATGGAAGGTCGGTTTTAGAAAAGACAGAAGAGCCTTGGAGTTGGTCCAAAAGACCATCGATTCGAGGAAGAGGGTATTTATTCTTGATTGTGATTTTATTGAGCTCAGTATAGTCGATGTAAAGATTAAGACATTCATATTTATTTTTCACAAATAGTACGGGTGCTCCCCACGGGGACTAACTTGGTCGGATGTAACCTTTATCAGGTAATTCTTGGATTTGATCTTTCAACTTTTTTAATTCCATCTAGGCCATGCCTAAGATAATATCTAATTTTTGGATTGGTAGGATTATTAAATCGTAATTCATAGGTTTAATATGAACTCGGATCAGACAATTAATTACTATTAGGTTTGAACACATTTCTTAGCCATACGGAATGATAATGCAATATTCATAACTCAATCGACGAGGTTTGAGATCTAAGTGCGAAATTATTTTATCAGATATAAAGGAATGAGTAGAGAAGGAATCTATTAGAGCATATAAGGGTTCTTCGAGGATAAATATGGTACCTGCTATCGTGGAAGGATCCTGCTCGATTTGTTTTTGAGTCATGGCGAACACATGGCTGAGAGCGGTGTTTGGAGCTTTTGGACAGTCTCGTACTAAATGTTCGGGTTGACGACATCTACACAGCTCTTCGTTCCTTGTACGCATTCTCCGAAGTGTCCATTTCCACATTTTGGGCAGATCGGTCTTGGTGGCGGTGGTGGTCCGGTTGGTTGGCGTACATGTTGAATTTCTTTTCCTCGGAATGGGTGGTTGCCAAAGTTACTCTTTTTCTATGGGCGTTGAGTAATTCCTTGTGGTTGGCAGTTTTAAATTTCTTTCTCGTCTTGGGCAGCCATGAGAGCCTTGTCCACCAATTATCAGAATGTTGAGGCGTGGAGATATGGATATCTCTACGAATTTCGGGCTGGAGGCCACAAATGAAATGATTCTTCTTTTCCTCGGCGTCTCGAGAAATAAATGGGACGTAGATGCAGCTACATCCAAAACGGTGGAAGTATTCGATCATCGGTAAGTCGCCTTGACGGAATTCGAGAAATTCTTTGTGTTTGTGAGCTCGCATGTCTTTCGAGAAATATTTTTGAAAAAAATGGACTTTGAATTCGATCCATTGCATATTTTCTTGGTTCGTCCCTTCTTTGATTCCATCCCACCAATGACGAGCCTCATTTCGGAGTAGGAATGTGGCACAATGTACTCGATCACGGTTGGTCATTTGCATATAGTCGTAATTTACTTCGAGATATTTGATCCCTTCTCCATATACGGTTGGATCAGAACCACCGTGAAATTCAGAGGGATTCATTCTAAGGAATCGTTCGTATATAGCTTGAGGTGCGGTACTTTGAGGTGGAGGCTGATTGCGTTGGATAAGTTGTTCGATTTGGTGTTGGTGAGTTTGGGCTTGTTCTCGGATAAGGTTTGAAAGGTTATGGATGGTTTGGCTGTGATCTTGCGGGTTGTTGACGGGAGTTCCTTGGTTACTTTGGGTTAGACATATAATTTTGCTTTGTTAAACAGAACATGTGTGCGGAAATACTTCATGAAGGCGGAGATGATGAAAATGAAGACCGAATGGGTCGAGTTCTCGTGTCTCGAATAGACTTTGAGCCCATGAAGTTCGTACGAGTTTCTATTGTTAGAGTAGGTCACCGGCAAGCCAACTTGTGGTTGTGGTCTTTCCTTTTATCTTGTAATAAAACAATCGTTTTTCGTTCGTAATAATAAAATATCTTATTTGGCATTCTATATCTGTTATCCCATGCAAGCAGCATAGATATAGTCCTAACGAGTTACTCTATTACTGTGAGTTGATCTAGTAGAATCGTGAGATAACTCAGCAATGTAATGTAACTGTTAAACCTTGTTCCTAGTCGATGGGTTACGCCAATAATGAGGATACCGGCCTTTCCCTTTTGAGACTAGCACTTAGTGTATGTGTACTGCGTCTCATCAGTCCTCGGTGTTGTGACATCGGCATACTTGAGTGGGTGCTCATACTGGATGAGTTCACTGAACTCCCTCGCCCTAGAAATCTATAAGTGGTTCTCATTCATCGAGTAATAGATTTCTAAGATATAGTTGTACACCATTAGTCCTTAAGACCCAGACATCACCGTGACTTCACTAGAGGACCGATTGTATCGTGACCTGTCCCTGAGTCCCACCGCGGACCGCTCCAAGGGCCAACGTTCGTGCAATCCGAAATCTAGTGTGAAGTCTGTGCATTGTAGTAGGGGATTCGAGCGCTTGAGTAGTCATGGATGTCCTGTGTGTTCTGACGGTTTATAATCCATGGAATCTCTGGCCAGAGTTGATAGTGGGGTGATTAGGGAAATGTGTTTCCCTAAGTCGCACACGAACGGATTTATAATACCTAGAACGTGCGCACGGTTATTGAACTTTATAAGAGGTCTCGGTGAACCAATGCCTCTAGTTCAATCGGGACATGTGCTACGAAGGGATCGTACTGTACGCTAACTATATCATAAGGTTCTTGCAGGCACTTCATTTGTATCTAGGGAATCATGATGCGTAGTTGCTAGACGCCAATCTTGATTCGTTGGGCACCGATTTGATCGGGATTAGGTAAAATGAGTTTTACTCTAATCAGGACTCTTGGGAGGAGTTCGTAATGTGTTGTTCGAATCACAAAGAGTTGTGAGCCCACGGCTAGCATACACCTGAACCATTGAGGGTCACACTTCTCGTGTAATATAGATCCTTGATAACAACAAGCATAGATTAATGGGTTAATCTTTGAACGATTGGATGTCGATATGATTGAGTCCAAGATTCGTAATTGTGAATTGCGAATTGGAATAAACGTAGAGAAAGAGAGACATGCGGAATTTAGTGAACTTTCTAAATTGGGAAGCTTCCCGATTTAGCAAGTCCACTGAAGTGGAAGTTTCCAATTTTGGAAATTGGAAATTGCGAAGAGGCACTCGTATCGACGAGGACTTTGAGCTCGTCACAAATATAATTTTGTTATAATTTTGTGGACGATCGTTTATTAGAAACGAGGCCGACAAGGGGATGGGCTTAATGCATCAGTGGGTCAAGCCCAATGACTTAAGTCCGCTAGGGTTGAAAACCCTAGGTATAAATAGACCTCAAAAGGAGTTTTGAGATCAGATTTTTCAGCACAAAAACCCTAGCCGCTCAACACCTCTCGGCCGTTGCATCTCCGCCGCGCCACCGCCGACCACCGCCGGAAACACCGCCGGTTTTCTCCTCTTTCTCCTTCGTTTTATTCGTGTTGTTATCTAACTC